CCCTCATTTGAGAACCTAGAGTATATTCACCTGAACTAGTTATGTTGTACACTGATTATTGTATTTATTTAAGAAACTATCTCTTCATGTGTGTAGCTCCGTGGTGGAGGATTGTGAGGAGGCTTTTGTGAAGAATCCAGACGGCCATCCACTGGTGCTCTACCTCAGGACTGAAGAAGACCACACTCTGACCGGACCCACCAGACAACTGCTAGAGAGAATCAACGCTGCAGACAAGGCGGCTAAAGTCAAGGTTTGTGAGTGCCAGCCAATAAAGCAATATAAAGTGTATTCTGTAAATGCCGTTTATAGTCATTCAAATACGTGTGTGCTCCTGTGTATTCCTGCCAAATGCCAAACAGTGTTTTTAAAATGAACCCAGGTGGTGGATCACAGTGGCTCTGCAGAGGAGGGGGCTGACCTCATTTATTCTCAACTGGAGAAAGTCATCAAACAGGTACAGACAGTCAGCAGCATCAGTGTTTCATCATTTCTCTGGTGCTGTATGTGATTGCTGCTCGTGATTCTACCTCTTCCACCCTGACGTAGGAGCTGCTGTGTCTTGAAGGAGCAGATGTTGACTCTAAGGACTCTGGGATAGATGAGGGGCGTGAGGAGGACTCGGGAGACGTGCTGTGGGACCTGCATGACGAGCAGGAGCAGATTGAGTCCTACCAGCAGGCCTGCAGCAGCACCTCCTCCCAGCTGGGCTTCCAGAAGGTGGGGCAGATCTCTTAGCTTTGTTACTCTCATCCCCCTGTTAGGGATGCCAGCGATTATTCGATTATTCGAATTTCGTTACAGTCTCCATAATCGAAAATTATTTTAAAAAAATTCGATTTTTTTTATGTTTTTATTTTTTTTCTGGCTTAGTTTCAACCAAAATATAGATTAATAGTAATTATTAATAATTGTAAATGGCCATTGGTCACACCACCAGTTTGTTTTACTGTAAACTTGGAGGAAGCCAGCAGCCCTTCGCTGCGCTGCTACACACCGACCCCCCCCTCTCCCTCTCTCCGTCACACGTGCGATTGATTTATTGGAGTGAGAACTCAACTAAAGATGAACAAAGGAAAGAAGAGTTCC